GTCCTCGTTGGCCGCCATGATGGCGGCCGGCATATGGAGCAATTTGGTTGTGTAGGAGCAACAACAGTCATGCAAGGAATATCAAATTTGCAGTATAGGTGCGACAGTATTTTCTAAGGACTCAATTGCAGATAGATTAATCGAACTTGGCAGTCCTCTCTCTTTTCTGCTTGCAATTTTGTATCAAATTTTGTAAAAATCTTGATTTGTATCGCATTCTGGAACTCATTCTTCGTTTTAAAGTGCTTATTTTATGAGTAGTGAATGGTCAAGCCAACCAATCAGCTCAGTATAACGATCATTGCGCTTTTCGGGCAATTGAAGCGTGCTACTCATTGGACAGGTAAAGCCAGTTTTCGTTAAGCTTTTTCGTTACTATAATGTCTGCAAAGCTCACATATTCGCAACGTACCAACTTTTTAATTTAATGTTACCGTAAGTGCTTGTACATCGACGGTCGAACCTTTTAACTCTCCGTGGTATGGCCGACAAAGCGACGTATAACCATACCTTCCAGATTCGCCCATACCCAAGATTAAGGCAGGTGCTTACCTTCCTCGCCGACGCACAGTGTGACGACTGAGTCAAATATATCATCTAGTGTTTACACACGACACAGCCGGAGCAAATACGTTGTATCCATAAGATAAGAATATACTTGTTGATTGTGTCTCACTTTATGTCAAATGCAGCACTGCTGCCGCATTCTGCAGGTTCCCACTATCTTTGGCTACTGCCAATTTCATGATCAATTACAAACTTAAACTCTGCCTCATAAGAAATTGAATTTCATTGTACCGGAGCATGTGGTGTTAGTATACATTACCGTGGCGAAGTGCCATGAATATTTTTTTTATAAATAGCACTTACGAGTTCGATGCGATAATACACCAAAAGGATATACCCGTGGGACGCTATACTCTCATTCTGTTATATAAATAGTAAGACGTCAATTAATTATAGCTATTAAGCTAACTTTAAATCCTATGATAACACCTCTAATTTAAGCAAGTGTTTAGTTAGATGTTTCTTGATTCCGCGCCCTTCCCATCTGGGTCAACAAAACGCGCGATAAAAAACTCATGCTTTCGTTAGTCCCGAAGAGATAGCACAACTGGCGGCACAAGACTTATAAGCGCTTACCGCTTCTTTATGGTGATTACCAGAACCGAGGATGTGCTGGTGGGATACCTTCAGAAAAGTTTCAATCAGACATCGACGAGAGTACTACAGTGCTATATGGAGCGAGACTGTATCTGTTTGGCGCCAAAACTTTTAAAGGCAAAAAACCCGTCAGGACACGAAATATTTAGATGATCATGGGCTCAGCACAACTTTAGGCTATGTAACGGCGCGTCGTGCGAGCGATCTAGAAATCACAAGGTCGCGCGCAAGAATGGAGACAAACGGTCGGTGCTCTTACAGTTTAGGTATTCTCAACACAGAAAACTTTGAAAGACAGACTTCGCTACCCTTGTCCTAACTAATTTGATTTATCATGTGTGATCAGAGCTTCCTACTCTTTGTCAAAAAAAGAAAGAAAAAATGGCAAATTTCCAAGGGTAATGAACTCATCCATGTGTCTAATCTAGCATGGATTCTGACTTGAAGGTGTTCAGCCGTAATCATAAGATGGTAGCTTGAGAGCACCAGATTTTCAGCTAACCGACTCTTTCTAGATATCACGAACAGTAACTGTTTGAAAGAAGGGTATCCGAATGGATGCATCTCGCACTGAGATCTTTCGTGTACACTCAACTTCTTTCCAGGTAGGCAAATACTCGATCCGCTTCTGTCGATCAGAAATGCGGATGTGCGTAGATGTTGTATGAGTGCGCTGAAAGTGATGGAGGTTAGCTTAGCTAAGTGATACCTTGGCTGCTAAGCAGTGTCATGGAATTCAAAGATGCTGCACCTGCTCGAGTATTGTACATTCACGCAATGTATATACCCTTCGTTTCCGGTTGAAACCGTTTGCTTTCGCCGAAGCCTAACATCGACGGCAAGGTGCCGCCACTTTGTGCAGTCAACAGCCTTTTTCATACCCATGGACCTGCAGATACAGCTAACGACCGATATTCAATCTTGGACAAGGCCGGACCTCGCTTGCTAAAGGGGATCTCGCTGCGCTAGACGGCTCTGCCTTTTGCCAGGGTATAAATTGTTGTAAATTTTAGCGTCAATGACACCTAGGCAATTTTGCCGGAGGAGAGCCTCCAGAATCCGGACGCTCTCCGAATCCGGTAACCCTTATAGTATAGTCAAACCCCTGGCAACTTTGCCGAACTACATTCCACCTAACGAAAATAAGATAGAACTGGTGGAGACAACCATCACAAGGCTGGCTCATATGATTTTCTATAGTTGTGGTAGCTCGTCCACTGGCTCCAAGGGTCTCAACGTGCGTTCGTGCGGATGCCGCTCGTTTTACTGACACGCTCTTGTTGCCACACGATGGATCGATCAACTTAAGGCAACTCATGCGGTCCAAAATGGGATCACATTTGTAGAGAAAGAAGTAGATCAGCTTTCGTGGGCTTTCAAGACGCTACTCCTTCTGCACCTGTATGCCTCGCGCCCGAGTCTTTCACGAATGCGGGATTGCGACACGCCTTCAATAACGTTCATTTGCTGAAGCGACGAGCGTAGAGAATCCAATGTAGTGGGGGTGAAACTGCATCAAAAGACTGCAGACACAAGATGAGTGGGCGAATTAATTGTGTTCAAAGCAAATGATCACTCACATGTATTCATGTGTATTCGTCTGCCTAAGGTATCTGTCATGTGTTTCTTTGTCTTCAGTCATAGCGTCACACCCTTAGCGCATGATGCTGATCGAATTTAACCCATCAATTTTGCTTCGTAAATTAGCCGAGCTGATACACTAGGTCAATCAGTATCAGCAATCAAGGCTGAAACCAGCACACGAATTCACCAAACCATATATGGAAAAAAGCTGTCAAGCCTGTACAGGCATAAACAGCGTTATTTGCAAACACACAACAGGTGGGAACATGTCGCTTCAGTTACGCGGGCAATTTTAAAAGATGTTCCCAACCACGTACTGAATGCGTTTTGTATGACCATCGGTGTTCGGATTGAGCATTCTGAAATATCTTATCTAGTCTCAAGCACTTGTAAAATATAGCCATTAAGGGTAGACTAGCAAGCCCTCTTGGTGAATAGCTTTGGGAGAGAAGTTCTACTGTATGGTCATCGGTCTGGCAGGCTGGCCCAGTATGCCGCGAATTTTTTTCGCTGATAAATTCAACAAATGCCAGAATTTGTGTGATGAAAATTTTCTGATACATTTTGCAGCGTACTAATCTTAGTGTCGCGGTTGCGCGTCCGTTACCACGTCAAGGCAATCCGGATCGTATGATACTGCAATATGCAGCTCCTTGTTGGAACCGTGTACGTTTTCTCCGCACTTTTGAGCTGACGATATACGAACGCAATAACACTGAGCATATCGACATCCGCTTGACGAAAGATCTAGCGTATGACAAAGATTGAAGCGTCACAAAGGACGTGAATCGGCCATCTGGCTCCGGTAGGGCAAAAATAGGTGCGCATGTAAGGTATTCTCAAAAAGCATAGAAGGAAGGCTCGTATGTAGTACCTCGACAACATTTAACATGTTTTATTTGGTGGGGGGCTTGTCATGTCGACATTATCTCCGCTATATCTGAGCGATTAGTCACACAAGCTCAGTTGTTTCCTTGAACCTCTTTGAAACAGTAGTTTACTATGGCCTTTGTCTTACGTGAAGCTGTTCGTAGATGATGCTTTTCAACAGTTATAGGACTTTGTCAGCGCCAAAGACATAATTGTCAACATTGTCGAATTGTTTGTTCAAGCATATACGTGCGGGCTCGCAGATGTTCAATATGACTGACCTCCTGTGCTCTCCGCGATTATGAACAAGTTTCGCCGACCTTACACTCACCTGAATGAGAATGTAATACTTTGATAATCAAAGCTAGCCAAGATCCATACGTTTGTCTACATGTGATTATAAAACCTTATTTAAAGCATTGTGTGGCTAGAAACCCATGTATCCGACGGACCTCTCCTTTGACTGTACCGTCACTTTGATCCCGTGCCTAGTGTTGAATCATGGTTATTCACAACAATACATTTTAGCTTCCAAATGGTAACAGTGTGATGCGTACGCACATCATAACAGATATGTACCAGTTCTCCCGTAGCCGATCTGAAATTCATAGGCTAGCTTTGGGTGCTAACCAAGTGCACACTTTAATTTGGAATATAAAGCGCAGAACGAAATGGCTATCATTATCATGCCTTTATTGGTATCAGATTTTACTCGTTCACCCTGTAAACTCTCTTACCGGTCTACCGGTTTTTTCCTGAGTAGATGACAAAGATCTCACTCAGTCAGTACGGTGTCTTAAAAAGTATATCTTGATGGGCTGTGAAAAGCTTGATCTAGTTCAGACATGCTGAAAGCTGAACAGTTGTCGTTTCATCAACGCCACTTTGCCACTTGTATGTGTGTAAGTTTAAGGCGAGATAATTTAGTGATTCGGACAATATGCCATTCATTGCATAGTCACTTAGTTTTAAACTTACTGATATTTGATTAAGTCGGCAAGTTCATAGCCAAAATGAAAACAGTCATTTGAATCGAACTAGCGCGCACTGAATGAATAATTTGCTGAATATCGGCGGCAAGTTCCAGAGTTCTTCTTAGACTTGGCAGGCGTTTTGTCCTAATCCCATCACACAAATCTCAGTTGCTTCAACTGCCAGGCTAAGCTTAGACCGTGGTGACAAGAGAAATTTCACGTGAAAACAAAAAATTAGCCCGCTACGACAAGAAACACTGCTGTTTACGTTCCTTGTGAGTTGCGCGTCCACAACTTCTATTCGTATCTATCGCTCATTCTCTTCAAAACGAAGATAAGAGGTCTCAATTGCGGTGACCATCACTCTGATAATTAATTATCTTAGCTAGTCGCCCGCCCGGCCGAATCATGGGCAACGAACAGTCCACTGCAAACGGCTTGCGCGGCGACGGCGTACCATTCGTGAGCTGGCAGCAAATATCCAGGCAGCACTTTACTGATGATAATGATACCGATTATAGCGCGCATGTAACAACCAGGAGCTACCACTTTGCAGAGCCGTCTAGCTACCGCTATGATCGCGTGCCACGCGTAGTGACGGGTAACGTCGTTTTTACAGATCCACCAAAGGTCGATAAAGAGCTGAGGAACAAGGAAGCACTACTAGGGAATATTGCAATAGTTGAGCGAGGCGGTCGCGTCCATTTCCCAGACATTGTGCGACGGTTATTGGCAGTGGGAGTCACGGGTATCGTTTTCATCGAAAGGACAGACAACAGACACGCGATCCAGTCACTGTTCGACGGATTTCACTCGTCTGGACGCCAACGCATATCCATTCCTATCGTACTACTTTCAAAGTATCATGCCGACCAATTGCTGATAGACAAGCCGTCGCGAATTTCGATTGAATTGCTCTGGAGAGAACAAGCGTGCAAGCATGTAGTGCCTGACGACGTGTACTTTGGGGTTCAGATTGCAGCTAGAGCTGGGGACGTAGAACTGCTTCGATATTTACTGGAAATTGATACATCGGGAAATGTGGTGGAGGTGCGTAGCATTAAGTGTGATGTAATAAAATGCTTATCGAATGATTTCCTGGTTTTTTTTATTGAATAATAGAACATACCAAAGGCAGTGGCTTTGTGTGACGCCGTGGAGAATGGACATGTGGATTGCATTGAGATATTGCATAGTTTGGGCGTAACAATGGACGAACAGAAGGTAAAAATTCTGCTTACGTGATGCTCAAGACATGATTCTAATTTTTTTTGGCTCTATGCACATATAGCCGACAGGTGTATCGCCACTGATGGTGGCTTGTTCAGTCGGAAATGTAGAAGCTGCACGAGCATTGTTGATGTTTGGAGCAAGTCTGGACTTGGAAGATGTGAGATGTATTCTATAAATTCAAATTTGCTCCTTTTGAGTCTTAACTTTTTCAGGTACACGGTATGACCGCGCTGATGGTTGCTGCACGAGACGGTCACACCAATTGCGTCAAATTGCTGGTCAAAAAGGGAGCAAGGATAAATCTGTCAAGAAATCGAGTTTGTAAACTTGTTGGGATTCCGAAAAAAATAGCTCAATAACAACTTCTGTGCTGTAATTTTGACGCTTTAATAGAGCCGTGGTACGACGGCACTTCATATTGCCGCCCGTGGTGGATTGGAAGAGTGTTGTTCGATATTGCTTCAAGGAGGTGCGGATCTCGAGACACAAAGTGTACGCGAAAAAGAACTACTTTATTCCTCATCATCTACTTATAAGCGTTATTCTTCTTCAAATTTTGAAGCCAAATTCAACTACTGCTTTAATGGAAGCTGCCCGCGCCGGAAATCTCGGTTGTGTAAGGGTTCTTGTGAAATCTGGGGCAAATTTGTTCGCGAAAGACGTAAGTTCTCGCACATTGTAAACTCAAGACAATAGTTTATGGTGTTTGCGTATTGAACAGCGCGACGGTAATACAGCAGAGCACCTGGCGCATATGGCTGGATATAGTGCTATCGAAGATTTTTTACATGAACAAGCAGAGAGCGTTAGTACTTTTGCATTATTTCACCATATCAAGATTAAACTATTCCTTTCTGTCAGGAATCCGTCAAAAGTCACCGTCGTAAAATTGAGGACACTGTTGCTAAGCCAGGGTCTACATTGAAAGATCTTCTGGTGATAGCGAAAAGCAACCAAATGTCTGTCGACATTCTGTACCGAGAAATGATACGAGAGTACAAATCGAGTATTTGGCTCGAGCAGCCTCGAATTATTTACGATGTGTTTCGTTTACTCACGGTTTCTGCCGCGTCTCCCGAGTCTGATCCTACGGATGATCCTAATTACGGTAAATACACAGTCCAGCATTTTTGCAGTGAAGTTGCTTTGTGGTATTCGCCAAAGATTTTTCAAAAGGGGTACGTGCCAGGAGTTGCTGACTGGGTACCAAACGCTGAAGATGCGTATGACGTTAGAAATTCGTCAGGATACCTTAAGGTGCTCTTTAATTTCGTTTGCACCCCGGACCTCCTGGATGACGTTCTTTTGGTACTCTTTTGCAAGGTTGTCAATCACTTAATTGTCAATCAAAATCTTGGAGAGCTGTTGTGGCGCTTTTTCGCTGACGAAGGACAATTTATTGTGCCATGGTTGGTCTGCCATATCGGTCTTGACTCTATTCGCGACACTGTTGTGTGGCTTATGTACTCGGACATGTCGGAGGTTGGACAGCTTAATGTACGAAAAAGTGGCATTTTTGACTCTTTGCTCGCTCGCCTTTACTCTTGGCAGCGAACTCTAGGCTGGGGAGTCGGGACAGCATTTCAGCGTGACTCGATCGAAAATATTTGCTCTTTGATTAACTACATTATTTATCCACCCTCAGTCTACATCATGAACAACGTGGCTACTTTCGTGGAGAATACCGACCATTCCTTACCTCTCATAACAGACCAGCACTTTCCGTTACACCACAACGAGCTTTTTAAATCACTATTATTGTTTTTTCTCAATTCGGCGGATGTCTCGTTTGGAACATTGCTCGATTTGGGATTCGCAGAGGTCTGTCGCCAATGTACTCAAGGATGTACTTCGCTTGTCGTTCGTGATGGCGGTGCTCTGTCAATTATTATGACGCTTATGGGCACGCTGGGTTATCACAAAAAGAAGCGCGATGTCACGGGGATTGAAGTTTTGTTGAAAAAGGCACACGTAGCAATTTTAAACGCGCTAATTCCACGAGTTGAAAAGTTTGTGAAGCTGTGTCGGGCGGTCGTGACGAGTGACGTCAACGCGCTTCGAATGATATCTACTTCATCTAACCCTGGAAGCGTCAAGGCAATTAACGCAAGAGGATCGGCTCTTTTGCATATTATAACATTTTTTAAGCGCTGTGTGCTCTTGCAAAGTGGCGATGTTGACTATGTACTGGCGAATTGTGGCCTAATGCCATGTTTGCTGGCGTGCTATGGGTCGCACCCTAACAACAGCATACTACACCACGCACTTACCGACATCATCCGATTTGTTCTCATGGATCCTGATCAAAAGCGACTACCGTCATCTCCTTTGTTAAATAGTTTATTTATCGAAGAGGCAAATCTTCTAGATTTCGTCATCCGTGCGTATGACAAGCATGTACAATACAAAGGCCACATGACGACGATCGCCAACAGTATATTTACACTTACCAAGTACGTACTCGAATTCTATAGCAAACTTCAAAATCTCTACTGACTGATGTATATTGAACCTGCGTGTATAGCACCCCAAATTGCAATCGAGGATTAGTTAAAATAACCTGTCAAGACATTGTGCGACAATACACGTCTCAACACGAAAAATGGGTGAGGTTTGAAGAGATTCTTGCGAAGCAGAACCGTCTTGAGATGGTGCCTCTTGGTCAGCGTAATGCACCGCTGTGCCACGGCTGCTTGAAGCTGAAACAGAGTGCAGTCGACTATGTTGCAGCAACTCTTACAAATGCTGACATTAATGAGTACACTGGCTACTTGGAAACTATTTTCTCAGATGCTGCGAATCATTACTGTAATCTCACGTACACGGACGAATTTATTACGGGGTTTATGTACAAAAAAGATAAAATTCACGACCACATTCCTATTCCAGAGCCCACTCGTGTGAGCTCCTTCATTCAGTTCCCTGTGCCCATGCCGTTCCATGCGCTAACGTTTACCATCACATTTTTTGGATTGTGCCAAGTGTGCGACAAGCTTTGGTACTGTGACACCCTTCAAAGTGCAAACTGGACAACTCGGATGAAATGGGTCATTCCGACGTCGATCCGAAAATGGTATAGTTTCGGTGTGACGGAGGGGCCTGGTAGCGGTGCGCATGGCTTGCAGTTCTCTTCAAAGGGCTACAAGAATTTTATAGTGCTCACTGACACTTGGGGCCGCCAAGAGCAATGGATGCATGCAATCGAAGATGCCATCCACAGTCTTGCGACGCAACTGTCCCGCGGTAATACCGAGAGTGCTATAGCAATCGAGATTGATAATGAGGTTGACGCCGACGAAATCGACGTGATGCGTATGAAAGAAGTTACGGCGGGCTTAAGCGTTGCTAATGGACTCATGGTGGGGAATGTACCAAAGAATGAATCAGGCAGTCGAAACTCGCGCGCCTCGGACGAAGATGAAAATGGAGGACGCTTTCGAAGTAACACCGTGACGTCAATCGAAAGTGAAACAAATGAGTCAAAAGACAATGGGGACCAGTTTGATGACTCCTTGTTGGAAACATCAATGCCCACCGTTCGATCACGGTCTTCATTCGAGCTCAGAAGTGGTGAAAATGATGGGGTACGAATGACACAGTCTTCTGCTAGTTCTCGAAGAAATTTGGATCTGAAACGATTTCAGCCGGATACGCAAAAATTTGCCGAGATTCTTGGAAAACTCAAGGTAAATTCACCTCGTGGAAACAAAGATGGAACAACAGTGAGTGCTTCGGGTAGCATTTCTCCCTTTAGCCACCGAAACATCTTGAGTTCACATGGTGCAATGAATAATCGATCAGCTCCTGAATTCGTAGGCATGCGTCACGTTGTTTCAACACCAGACCTCACACGTTTGCAAGGATAGCAATAGACTTCGCACTGTACATTTATTTCATTGCCGATTCAAAAATCAGGGCTTTTGGTGTACCGACCAGTGTATTTGAGTTGCAGAAAAGGAAACATTTAAATATATGAAATGTAGGGAATGGGGTGGTCCTGTTATCAAATGTTGTAAGATGGCTGTTTGTTCGCAGAAGCATTTTGTCTTGGAACCTCTCGTGCCCTGTTTTAGCATATTGACTACGTCTGATCCCACGATGACTACAATACGTTGATTACACAACTAGTGATTAGGCGGGTAGGACGATTGGCAACTGCAGAAGGTTGGTGGCTGGATGATCCCAAAGATTGGATGCAGATTCGATATGGAGGCAGTGTGGGCTACAATACACCAATTACTTCAAACTTCATTTTCCTTCCCACAAATCTTTCACTTTGGGTGCTGATTATTCGCTTCTTTCTGTCAAACTTTTACGCTGCCCAAAATCCGTGATCTTAATCATGATATGAGCCCATGTATCACAATCTCTGCGCAAGACGTCTCAACCAGAACCTTCATCAACAAGTTCAACAGCAACAACTATGCGGTGTGGAACCGCTACATGTGCGGCGTGTTTTTTACCATGTTGGTGTAGCATGTCGTAGACCGAGAGACGACCCCAACTTTTCGCACCAGGGATGAGTATGTCAAGTCGAACAAATTCGCGTTTGGTCTAACACTGCTCAACATGAACGTGGACTATCACCATGCGTTCGACAATTGCAGGAAAGCGCGGATCGCGTGGACATGCTTCGGATGGTAGGTAGCTACCTACCTGAAACGAAGATACTTCAACATAAAGACGTCTGTAGGCGCGAATGTCATTGCAACGCATCTGTGCCAAGCTCAGCAGCATTGGCCCGACGATGGAGAAAAAAGACTATGATCTGCTCAACCCAACCAGGCCTGACAAAAGTGTTGTGTTTGACTGAGAGATATGCTGCGCAGAGCTGAAGCAACAAGAAGCTGTGAAGGTGCTCCGAAGTGAGAATCAGGCGAGAAGACTCCAAAAGTGATGACTAAAGTCGTGAAAATGCTTTCATTACTGAACGTGAGTCCCACCGGTGCTCATACTGCAAAAAATCGAGGCAAAGGAGTGAGAAGTGATGGAACAAGCAGAGAGATGAGATTCGGGGAGTCCGATGCGGTAGCAATGGTGGTGGGCACGTAATTAACAATCGCTGATGGTAAAACGACAACACTACGATCGTCAGGCATTTGCAGTTTCGCTGGAACTTTTGATGGGCAAGATATATCCGCCATGTCGGCAGTCGACAGCAGTACAACACGCCAAATCTAGACCAGTATTGAAGACTAAGTTCTACCGCGCCACAATGGGCCATTCGCGGTCGCAGCTAAATTTTTATTAAATGCTGATACTTTTCCATTTCACCATGGGCAAAAACGTGTCCGAGTAGTCGATGCCACACTTCGGCATAAAACTTTGTGCCACGAGGCGCGTCTTTGACGTTCAGATTGAACCGTCTGCTTTACGATTGACCTTGAATTAATGGCGCAGATTGCTTGGTAATTTGGTAGCTCGAAACAGGTCGCGAAGAAATGGGTGCGTATAGCCTTGCGCCATTGGACTTGGTCGGGTCATATTGCCGCTTCTTGAAAAAAGCTGATTAAGCCAAACTGCTTGCTTCCACTGCATTCGTACTTGCTCGCCGAAAGGCGAGTGTGAAAAAGTTGTCATTTTTGTCGCCATGGATGTCTTGTCTTTTTTCCCGAGCTATATCAGTGTTGGCTTGGAAATCTGGTCGAAAATTTCCTTGATTTTCCAATGCTTTATCAGAAGCACTTGTTGCTTTAAACCCTGATGTATTGCGTTTAAATCGTGTCTTTGCCGCAATATACACTTGAGCAAGTTCTGCGTTTTTTATCTGCTTAATTCCATCGGTCCCGCATCTCCCATATAGCTGATGACAAAGGAGTCGATGTCAAGGTCGTCTTTGCATTCGACGCCGACGAACACGCATGCGATTCACACTCGGCTTGAACTTGCACACAATCTCGTAAGTAAATCTACTGTCAATATTAGACAGTTCTCCACGAAGATGTCATTCATCGTCGCGTCGCCCCAGAAACAGTTCAGCTGGCACGGAGCAACATGCTGCGACCATTTGTAATAATAGTCGGATGGCATAGATTCGTTGGTTTGTTGCCTATACTGAACCGAAATATGTTGTGTGATGCATCGATCTTCATAGAATACCTTCTGCGAGCTGGTTGCAAAAGCTTGAGCTCCGTCATGATGTTCAAACTTAACCCGCTTTTCAATCGCGTCTGTACCTTAGAGATATAGCGCTTGAGACATTTTTTAAGGTCCAACTTGGCATGTAGGCAGAACCCTACTATGTATCCACTGCATTCATCTACAATAACCAGCATATACTTTCTAACACCCAGTGATCCTATTTCTGTCAAGCCACAAATATGGAAGAGAAGCCGTCAAAAGGATACGTGTCGTCCTGGCACTTGTCATGGCTCAAGAGGTATGGCTTCTGCACTCTTTTACATAACCCATGCACGCGTGCAGAGCAGCATCGGGCGCCGCTTTTGCCGCAAACAGAACATTGTAGTGTGTGCTGTCAGTACAGTCCGTTAATGAGATCCGCTGTCGCCTACACTTGATGTGAGTCCTTGCAGGCTGCATGCATGCCGACCATGTCAAATATCACCCGGAGTTGATTTGCGGCAGATTCTTCTTCTTGTTCGGACGTTATTAATTTCGATCTCAAGCTCGTCAAATTGAGCAGTCCCACTCGCTCGACGATGTCTCCAATATCTTCGATAGCAATATTGGTACCGTCGACAAATCTTGAGCACACCTTCATCTCGCTGTTAGAGCGTGTTGGACTTGGCCTTGTTCTGATAAGTTTGTTGCAATAAATAAAACCTTCACCCGTAACAGATTCGTGTTATGTATTGCTAAGGTTTGCTTTGACTTTCGGTCTTAGCGCTGTACACTCAGCGCATAACGATCTATCTCATTAAGATAAATTTTGCTATGATTCCAGCCGGATTCTATCAGCAGGTCTGATTCGATTGACAGCTACTCGCAGAGCATCTTCGTGGCGATGTCAAAGACACCCGGGGGGTTTATCAAGCCCTTCTAAGTGAAATGGGCTCAGCCTGTATCGGTATGTAGTGTGTTACTCATCGCAAACTCCGAGACTGGGTGTAACTCGTTCTAGCTACGCGGACTCTCCGAAAAAGTGATTCGGAGATTACCCCCACGTAACTTACGCGATCCGTCCAGCCATTTGTTTGAGAATACTGAGCGAATGACATGCCCAATCTGGTGCCAAGCACCTTATAAAAAATTCCGTTTTTCTTTGTAAAGCGCAATGTTTTTGTCCGATACAATTGCCAACGGCTAGTCGGAAGGCTTGATCGAGAAACATTTTGGCCGAATCTTCAAAGGTTCCAGTATCGCTGACGGTGTAGTGGTACACGAAGATTACAATATCCAATATAGTCTATATTTACACCAATACATTATTGGGTCCGTCCGGCTGGCCAAAAGTGCTGCCTCAAACGGTAGAGTTGAGCTCGTTTAAGCACGTCGTACGCGTGTATAAATGTACTTACATTCCTACACCTATCAAGACTCTTTTGGGCGGTTACCTCGGAGCAGAAATTCATGTGCCAAGTATTTTGGGTTTGAGATCATCGTCATGAGGCATTACTAAACGCCGAGAGTTATGTAGATCAGTCCTGCAATACAGCCGACCAAAAGACAAGGCATAGAGGTGCAACGTGCAACTTGCGTGCTTCAAATAAGCAGCAATCGGGCTCTCAAATTCTTTGCTTTCAAAAGTTCCAGCAATACAACACTTACATCTTATACGTTCGTTACGTATCGCCTCATCAAATTGGCAACATTACATCGTGTATGCTACAATACAAATTCATGCTGACGTGAAAGCTCATCCGATATCGGGTTAAGACGACTCGGCTCATCCCATACCTGCAGCGGGGCTGCCGTAGCTCTTTCACTTAGGGGAAGCTCAGCTAAGGTCGACGACCTCACGTTTTATACTAGAACTAGTACGAGTGTAGCAGATCACAATCCGCTTACTCCAGAAGTGCATACAACCCTAATCCAAGGCAAATACACTCTTTCGATCAAAATATAAACTGTATTTATTTGCGGCAAAGCCGCCTCTATCTAAAGCTCTAGGTTTTTCTGATTAAAAAGGAAACCTAAATAAATTGCATAACTACTAGCATTCCAGTCACAAAGTGGATTCTTGTTAAGGTGTAGCCACACCATTGTGCGGTCACACCATCTTGTGTAACCCACCCCTTCATACCAGGGCTCGTGTAACCCCGTTCACTTTTTCGCATCAAAATCGTGAGCACCCACAATTCACATCTAACTGTCGCCTCGTACGAGACTCGCGTGTCTAAGACACCTCTACGTCCCCAGGACCTTCTGCCTGCATACAACCAGCCTCACTGGCTCGGAGAGCGCCCGCGGGCAGAGCCCTTCTTCGTCTCCTGCACGCGGTGCAACTTCGATGCACGTCCGCTGCTTCACGCAAATCCCAAGCCCTCGGCCACCGAGCACCGCGCACCGGTCCCACCTCGGGCGACGGATTTCCTTTTTGAGGTCTCGGGGGAGGTCGACCACGAGTCGGATACTCCTTTTCTAGGATGAGAAAAAGAGGAGGACGAGGAGCACCAGCGGCGTGACGTGAGCCCCTCTCGAACCTTGCCAGTTTTCCGACCTCTCAACTTACAGGGGAAGTGGTATCATTTCCAATCGCCTCGACAAGGCACAGAAGCAGCAATTGGAGGCTGCCCATAGGGCGGCTCTTATGTGCTCACATCCTTGGTCGGTCCAAGACCTTTGTATGGAATAAAGCTTCCGCGCGGCGGATCCCGCCACTGAAGCGAAGGACGCGATAACTCGATTGTTGGGCGTCTAAGTGGTCGGACCCCGGCCACTACACAAGCTGAGCTTTACGAACAAA